CTCCCTGTCTCTCTCCATGTGTCTACCCCCCCTCCCCATGTCATCTTTCTCTATCTCATGACAAAATTTTCCCTTATCTTACAGCACATGAAGAACTACAAGAGCCTGTTCCAGCGAGTGTCCTCGTGGCTCAAGCCTAGCGAGCTGCTCTTCTTGCAGGTTGTCTGCATATATCTCTCCGTCTCTCTCTCCCGTTCTCTCTCCCTCCCCCCTCTCTTTCTCTCTCCCCTCTCTCCCTCTCCCTTCCTCCTTCCCCACCCCCTCTCTCCCTCTCCCTTCCTCCTTCCCCACCCCCTCTCTCCCTCTCCCCCAACCCCAGTCTCTCCCTGCCACTATCCATCTGTCTCCCCCTTCTCCTGTATCATCTTTCTCTCTCTTTCACGACCAAATTTTTCCTTATCTTACAGCACATGAAGAACTATGAGAGCCTGTTCCAGCGAGTGTCCTCGTGGCTCAAGCCTAGCGGCCTGCTCTTCCTGCAGGTCCTCTGCCACAAGAGCTTCCCCTATGCCTTCGACACCAAGCCGGGCTCGGACACAGAGTGGATGGCCAAGAACTTTTTCACAGGGGGAACCATGCCCTCTGTAGATCTCTTCCTTTACTTTCAGGTACGGTTTCGTTTCAACGGACGTCACTTGCAACGCAAATTGACTGCTTAGTATAATAAGACTGTTGTTCATCACTTTTCAATTTTTTTTCCCCCCACTTTATTCAGTATTTTATCTGAACTTTACACCCTACTGATGGATTGTGAGGTAGAGGTTAAGGGAAGACGGTGGAGGAAATGGAGAGGAAATGAGGAAAAGGAAAGGGGATGAGAAGAAGAGAGGGAGTGGAAGGAGAAGGAGGGGGAGGGGAAGGAGATGGAGAGGGGGGAGGAAGAGGGAGATGGAAGGTAGAGTAGGAGGAGGGAGAAGACCAAGAAAGGAGGAGGACGAGGAGGAAAAGAATGGAGAGGGTGTGGTAAGATAAGGTATATGAGGGTTTGAAGTTTCCATTTTCTAAATTATCTGATTGCTGTCTGGACCTGCCCTAACGTCAAGACCCCGGAATTGACGAGTGCCTGATTCCACTGCGTCATGGCACATATAAATTCTCTTCATCATATTACTTTGGAATCCTGTTATAATGAGAAGGAGGGGACCAGTGCGAAATTTGCTTTATACCAGGATTCTCGTTTTAAGGGATCCAGTAATAAATTCAAGGGAAATAATAAAGTATGCCTAATCAATGAGTTTGGTGTTCTGTTTATTTCTTTTTGTAATCTCCCCTGGTATTGATTTTGTTCAACGTGACCTCAAGGTCTTACTTGATCAAAAATCAAATCAGGTTTCTTTCCCTAGCGCTAGCTATGTTGACAGCTCGGCGTTGGCGATCACAAAGGAAGGGCTCTAGGCTAATTCGCCCTCTGTGTTGTCCCCCACCCACCACACCCTGTGGTGCGTTGTGTCTGCTTGCGCTCGTCGCATATTTGCTCCATCCATCACAGCATTGTGACCTCTCCATCCCCGCATCAGAGAAGTCAGAGGCATGGTAGGCCTTGATAATCTAGACTAGGTGTGCCTATAACACGATGCGTTCTGCTTGTCTGCGCATACCACACGCTCCCCGGTCGTTCGCTACAGCCTTCATTGTTGGCACACATGGGCTGTCCCATTCTTTGTTACGCTAGATCACCAACAAGTTTCTCAACTGGTGAGGTGTTATATATATATGTATGACTGGCCTATGCCCTGTGCACAGCAGCAGCAATGTTTCGCTACAAGCGACTCGCGAGTTTGTCTGATTGCGCTGTAGCATAAAGATAAAGAAGAAGGGAAAAAAAACGGGATTTTAGAATAGTGTCTTTAAAACAGACTTCTCGTTATTTCAGGACTCGTTATAAGTGGACTCCATTGTACATATTTCTCTTAAACATGTACCTGTCTTGTTTTGTAGTCTCTCACTGACTATAGTGTTTGTTCTATTTATCAGAGAGATGTGACGCTCCTGGAGTCCTGGATCATCAACGGCCAGAACTACAGCCGCACCTTGGAGGCGTGGCTGGAGAAGATGGACGCCAACAAGGACAAAGTGGCCGCCATTTTTGAGAAAGCTTACGGGAGCAAGGAACTTGAGCAGAAAGTGTTTGATTGGAGACTGTTTTTCATTTTCTGCTCTGAAGTTTTTGGATTTAAGAAAGGGAATGAGTGGCATGTATCGTATCATTTATTTCAGAAAAAAAATATGAGCTACCTTTGAAAGTAGAGTAGATATGGAATAAAAGTTGAATACTTAATAACAGAAACATTTTTTTCCAGGTTTTGCTTGTGCTTTCTAGATTTTGGATTTTATCTTGGTCAGAGTGACAGAATGAAGTGAAGTGAAGCTGTGCCATCTGCTGTGCTAATGTCTACACATATTATGTTTGTTTTGTTTTGATCGACTGAAGTGTATGAGGGACATCCCCATAGAATAGACTGGTGTCAGCGTATTCAGAGAAACTAAAACAGTATTCAAACTTCCCAAAACACATTCAACATTTCCTTGAATGAAAGGGTTTGCTTTCTTTCCGTGAACTTATTATGCAGGTCCATGGAGTCTTTCTTTTTACTTGAGTAGTATTTTGAGGAATTTTCATGTCAATTCCATTTTTTACAGTTATATTTTTTTGATGATTCTACAACATGATTAATAAAACTTTCTGGGCCGGTATGTGTTTTGCCTGAAAGAGTTTTAAAAATTTATTTGAGTAATCAAATGCATTTGAAGAATGATATAAATGGCATAATGTTTTTGAAATGTTACTGTTTGTTGAATGTGGCTAAGACAAAAGTTGTGGCTTTGAAAATTTACTGGTGTGCTTGTTTTATCTCCAAGGTGAAAGCTTTGTTTCCAGTTTTTGTGCCGTTTCTCATTTCTGTACTGTTGTAGTGTAAAGACCCATCGTGGATGGCGTTAAAGAGGCCAGTTATGTATTATCTTTCGCACCGACTCCTGTACAATACAGCCCTAGGCATTTTACAATATCTTCATCTCATCACGCAGTACAAGTGAATGAACATTCGTACATACACTCTTAACATTAACACATAAGCAGACATTTCTACTACTATCACAGCACAATCAATAATGATATGCATGTCCCATTATGAACATAAGAGTATTATGAATGAGTAGGACTAGCTATCAAGATCGCATGTCATTTGATGTACATCTCTGGCTGGGACGATAGGCCAATGTGACCAGGACTGTGTGAATGAACTCTTCATAAGAGTGATACACACAGCTAGTCGGTGTGAGTGGGTGATGGGTGCTTTGGTGTGGTTTGCTCCTTCTTCCCTGTCAAAACACCTATCCTTATCTCTCCTCCCTTCTTTTTTCATTTTTGTTACTCTTTTGTAACACCTCTAATCTTCAGCACTTCTATGACATAATGATAATTGTGTTTCATTGAAAGTGCTGTAAATCTCTTACTAAAACTAAAGCCAGTGAGTTTCCTCCAGCCTACAAAGTGTTAAGTCTCTATGCTCTTAAACTGGCTTATTGTGCCACCTTGTGAAGCTCTGGTAGGTCTCAGCGCAGCACGTAAATATGACCTAATTGTGTTGCAAGAGCCTTTGAAGCGGTTTGGTACTTCGCTGTCTCATGCAGGAGACCCAAGTTTGATTCCTGAGTGCAGAGCAATTATTCTTATCGATTATCTAGGTCTTTTTCTGCTAGGATGTTGTATTCCTCTTAAGCATGGCTGCTCCTAATACTAATTGATCTAAATTGTGTCAATGGGAGCATAAAACACCTTCCAGTTTAACCTTCATAATATATATATATGTGTTATATTATATTTTTGGTGTATAATAATATATATATATATATATATATATATATATATATACACTCTCAAACTTTTCCTTGTTGACCTCCTGTTGTCGAGAAGAAAAGAGATTGTCTGAGGCAGGGGGGCATCTTGGACAATATTAGCATTGTTACAAGTGTGCCGTTTTATTCAATGTGATGAAGGAAATAGAAGGTGATGATTATTTTGTAAGGATCATTGTCATAAACAGGTGGTCTTTAGAACATGTATGACTGTACATTTTGCATTTAATATAAAGAAGTAAACAAACTACAAAGATGGCGATTACTGCAATGGGTCTATACTCTAATTCTAGTTCAAACGGTGATTTTGTTGATGAAACCTCGATAATCTTTTTTTATGCCCCAATCTTTTTCTTTTTTTTTTTTCCAATATCATGACAGTTACTATATATCTTTATATCTTTATTGTTTGATTTTTATGAAAAGTGTTCATAAACAGACCAATTCAAACATGATCTCTTTTTTTACCAGGTTTTTGTTGTACGAATTCTTGGAAAGATGAATAAAAAGAATCTTGCTCATTCACACCGTGGCCTACTTTCTTTTTAATTTTATTGTTTGAAATTTTTTTTGTCCCCTGCGCTCTTGTAAAGCTCTGAGTCCCAGTGGGCTTCTGGTTTTTTTAAGATTAATTTTTTAAAATTTTAAATGTAGATCTAGTTAATTTTACTCCCTCATCTGGGGTGATTGGAGGGCGTCACTGATGGGTCATACTTCTTTACTTTCCCTCTGTTGTTTCTGTTTGTCTTACTTTTTCCAAGCACTAAATGACTGTTAATGTGTCGATGTGCTTCTCTTTATCCAACTCGACAACAACACTCACATCAACGCAATTTTGATCATTCTTGAGACGGGCTTTCAACCATACTCGTCAGGCCCCACCTGGGCTGATTGGGATACAACATCCCAGCAGAAAGACTGATCGAGATACTCAATAAGTTTCTTCCCACCCAGGAATCGAACTCGAGTGTCCTGCGTGTGACAGCAAAGTGGCTTATCACTACACTACAGAGTAACAATTTAAAATTTAGACGTCTCCTTTAAAAAGATGTTGTTTTTTTCATTTTTTGTAACAATAATGGGCACTTGATTTTGTCAGACACGTGCTTTTTTTGGGGTTGGGGGGTTGTCCAAACGTCAGTGCTGCACGTGCCTATACTTTCCTGTGTCCTTCGCATGTGATTGAATCCAAAGAACAACGCTATGTCACGAACGCAATGTCACGAACGCAACAAAAAAGCGGCCAAAGTTCCAAGCACCCCGCCACACCACAGGCCAGTCCGGTGTAATGCGGTCAAAGTACGTAACATTAATTTTATTAAACTGTTATCTTGCTTGCTCGGTGAAGATGGCAGTCTTTGTGGACTTGCGGTTGGCTAGATGTCGTGCCTGAAGGAACTCTTGAACTCCCCGGAGATCAAGTCCGCACACGCCCATAATACATGACATGTCACGACGCTGTGGAATCAGTCGCTCGTCATTTAGTTTTTGAGCCTAATATGGAGTTATTGGCAGCATCTTAAAACTTCCTTATTTGTCTTGCTTTTGGTGAAGAAAATACTCATTTATCTAGAAGTCGAGATATTTGTGATTGAAAGAGGTGGGGGACGCCTAGTGGTGTCAGGCAGGGGTAAAATTAGCAAGAAAAAGCCGCAAAAGTTTGGTGGTGGCTTCCAAAGCTTGAGTGTTCATAGAAACTCCAAATTTACATCTGATTCTATTGCACCTTTCATCAAAGGTTATTTTTATTATTTATTTTTA